CATCGGGTGACTCACACCTGCTCCCAGTTGTGTTACCAACTCTCATTTTACTGATTCTCATCACAATCACCTTTCTCGCCCTGACCAAAATAAAGCTTCAAAAGGAGATGGGTAAGTCGGCCGGGCAACACCTTTCGGGTTGTGGTTGTTGTTTTGCAATGGCTTTGCTTGTGATTTCCAAGGGCTGGAGCCTGACCCGCTGCACGTTTCCATCTCTGGAATACACGCACCCCTTCTGCAACCAGTGCGGCCTGAAAGTCCAACTGTACTTGCAAGCAATCTCCTAGAGAAGTTACTTTTTTTTTTTTTTTTTTTTTTTTTTTTTTTTTTTTTTTTTTTTTTTTTAAATACACTTAAACAAAAAGCAAATGAAGGAAACGGAAATTCTGAAGTCCTGCTGAAAGCAAGGCTGAGCTTTTGTGTATAGAAGATTTACAGCCCCGTGAGTGCTCGGAAATCCTGAAGTATAAAGGGCAGGGACCTGCGCAGCGCGAACAGCTACATGCTGGGAAGCTTCTTGGGGCCAAATCCAGCCCTCTTGGTGCAAAGCTGACAAAGGTTTGCCCCAAAAATCTTTGTTAATAACCGATTTTTGAAACCACCTGCATATCTTATTCTAGAACATACCGTGTCCCTAGAGATAAATTTAGGGACAAAAGCCTTCAGCGATGACAGCGGCGAGTGGAAATAAATTATTCACAAGCATGAAATTGGGAAACGATGGGCCTAATCCAGTATCTCTTATGACGTGCTGGTCTATCTAACCAGGCACTAGAGGAGGTGCCCCCGCCATTGCATGCACATGGTTTTGTTTTGAAGGAGAAGGAAGAAGCACCGCAGGAGACCTGGAAGCAGCACAGATGGGGGCTGGTCTGAACCCTGAAAAAGAGCAAACGACGGAGGGAACCCCGAGTCCAGAAAACGTGCAGGAATGCAGCACAGACTCTGGCAAACATAGGTGGGTGTTTTCTGGAACTAGCACTGCTAGGGTCGTCTTGATAGAAGAGAATAAAACCAAATTTAGGCTTAGTCTAAAATACCTCCACAGGATAGACCCAGGTTTGCAGTCCAGGAATTACGATCCCGCAGTCCAGGATTTACGTTCTGATGCCAAACCATTACCTTTATTCCTTACCAAGAGATGTTGACCCATAGATTTCAAAAGACTTGGATTAAATCCTATGTAAGATTTATAAATTTATTATAGGGCTGATTATAATTTTTGCTTACGCTTAGTAAACATGTTATCGCTCTTCCTGCTTGCTTGTTTCAATAAAGTCTGATTACTTATCACCTCTTGCAATATTACCCAGAAGCGATTCTTGCTCACTGTGTTGCAATCATATCATCGTATCATTCTGTTTTGTCCTACTTGTGCAGATAATCTCTGTTATCCTTGGAAGATTCAGGATGACCGACTTACACGTAAGAGTCAACGTCTTCCGGTAAAATATAAAAAAAATGGGCCAGTCTTGGAGTACCAACAGTCTTCAGAGAGAAGGTCTTATAGAAAATATCTGAGCAAATATTTTATATATCAAATTTGTGGAAATTCCTATCGGTGAAATGTACTTTTCTCCATTAAAAAAAAAAAATAAATCAAAGTTCGTAGAAGAGTGGTTTGAAAAATCTGGTGACGGCATTTCATATTCTCATTAAAATACAATTAGATCCAAACTCTCTGATCCTATGAGCACGCGATAATATTTTAAAGTCAGACAGTTGCAGAAGGAAATAAGTGACTGTGACGATTTGCACCCTCTGGAAGGATGAACCACCTCTGTGCCCCGTTCTGCGTGTACCCTTGTATTTCTTTTCCTATTTAAAACATCCACTGGCTCCATCAGCAGCAGCAAGCAGATCTACAGACATCATATTTTTAAACTATTTAGAGAACACGATACCAAAAGAAGCCTTCAGGGTGGCTTTAAAACCGAGGCCATAAAGGTGCAAATCTAGGATATTTTGTGGAGACTAATACAACTTGCTAAACTTCTGCAAGTTTTATTGCTGCTCGAGAGATTTTGCTTTACCAAAAAGAAAAAAAAAAAAAAAAGCAGCTGTATGAAGGGCTCTTGCAGTCCAAAATATAAAGAACGGGAAGAAAAAAAGTACACACACGCACACACCGTCAAACCTTGAAAATAAACAAGCAACATTCTGTGAAAAACTTCTAAAACCAAGAACATAAATGCGAAGTTAATTGTGCTGTTTGCTTCTAGACCTGCCTTGGGGTAAACCCCAGGATAACGCTCCCCTGAAGCTGAGCAGGGGGTTGACTCCTGAAGTCCCCCCGTCCCCCCCCGACCCAGGGTTTTCTAGCTTTCTGTTCTGCGAACTCCCTGAAACAGACCCATTTCAAATATCAAGTCTGGCATAAAAACAGAAACGCCCATGAAATCACTTGTAAAAATATCTTAGAGGAGCAGTGCCAGATCACAGCTTTTCTTCTCTCTCTTTTTTTTTTTTTAACAGCAATCCTATGGGGCAAAAAAAAAAAAAAAATAAAAAAAAAATCTTTTCAAGGTGACTGATGAAGACTTGAGGCAGAACCCCCTTGTGTCAAAGCCCCTTGTACACGAAGTTCCCCTACAGAAAGCCAAGACAAAGCTCTGAAGCGCAAAGCACTCGGCTCCTCGCTGCCCCGCTCCGAAGCCGAGTGTCCCGTGTCAAGAATCTAATCCCTGCAGGCCGCCTAAATGCCACTTTGTTTGTAGAAAAAAGAATAAAATCATGCATCTGTAATCAAACTGTTTGTGTCTGGCTGCCTGAGGGAAAGGTAAAGCTGGGGAGGGGAGGAAGGACCCTCATGGCCACAGGTTTGCTCAGTTAAGCCAAAAATTGAGGATTTTCTGATTTTTTTTTTTTTAAATATCCTTAATAAATAGCATCTGACTTCAGTCTATGAAAGTCACCCGGATTCTCAAGTGCTGTTTTTCCTCCACCCCTTCTGCAGAAGTATCCACGGCTTCAAAGTCAGATCAGTTCAGCCCAGACCCAAACAGTAGCTTTGGTTTGTATGCGCAGACTGTATGCCATGCTGCAAACTGCGCTTTGGCCCCCCCACACACACAAAAAAAAAAGAAAAAAAAGCAAGCTCAGGGTTGTTTATTTTCTGGATATGCCAAAGTGCTTTGGAACCTGTGACTTGGCAGGAGGACGCTTCCTCCTCTGTTAAGGCAAGTAAATAATGTCCGCGGGAGACAACGGATGGGTTTTAACCAGAAACCTGAAGAGGGAAGAGAGAGGCTTGGTTAAAGAAACTCTTCACCCACCCTGGATTTTCTTTCCTGAGATTCACGGGCAGTTGCAGTCCCCAAGGTTGGTTTCTGCTGGGATTTCCTCTGCCCACGTTCCTCCTGCACAACCCTCCTCCCACCCAGGCTCTTTAAAACACATCTCTGAGCAAACTGCAGGACCGAGACGAGGCGAGGGGGAAAGCCAAGACGCTCACCCAAAGGACAGGTGCCTTGGAGAGCGGGAGGTGTAGGAAAACAAACACACCTGTGTCTTTTGTGGCCAAGCAAACACAACTCTGTGCCCAAGAATAAAAAGTAATGCCAGCAGTGGCCAGAGAAGCCGCACCGGTGGGAAGGACACGGCTTGCAGAGGGCTCAGCGTTTGTTCCCGTCTAGGGGAGATGGTGGATGTTCTCTCACTCCAGGAGCCCCGCCAGATCGCCCTGTGCACACCCAGCAACAGCCTCCCTCAACTCAAAACCTCCTTCCTCACCACAAAAGCAGCACAGTCATGGAAAGAAGGGAGCTCGACCCTTAGCTAGAGGAAAGGAACTTCTGAGGCTGTCTTTAAGATCTGACAAATTTTCTCAACATCCCGACTCCGGGTCAGAATCTCGCTGCTCTCGGGCACTGTAGGGACGCCTGGAACTGCCATCCTGTATAAACTCATCGGCTTTCACTGACAGCAGATGAGAAAAGCTTCATGTGACCCCCCTAGTTAGAAGGAATTACTGCTTTTGCATCATTAGTACAAGGTAAAGCAAGTTAATGATTCATCCCACATAGTACAAACACTTCAGTCTTCACTAATTTTACTGTCTCATCTGGTTCCATTTCTGGCAGCCCCACGCTTCGCAGGGAATTTGTATTTAGCCCCCCTGACATGCCTACAGCAGGAGAGCACAGAAATGAGGTTGAAGATGGCAATAAACCTCCTGTTAGGTTTGGGTTTTGTTTTTTTTCTCTCATTTTAAAGAGCTTACAGCGTTCTTGGTCTGCACAGACAAGTCCAACCCTCTGCCACCCAGACTCCTGCTCTTCCCACGAGGCTGAGGGGAGCTGGAGAGAGTGGGGAAGGGAGACAGACCTGCTCTCCCAGGACGGCCAACCAGGAACTTCTTAGAGACAACGGTTTCCAAGAAATGTGAAACAGCTTTTAAAAAAAATCACGTGGTTTCGTCCAGCTTTGCCCTACAAAGCAGTTCCACTGTTGGTTGGGGGATTCGTAGGGTCAGAAGCCAGGTCAGCCCTGGCAGCAAGGGGCTCTCCTGCCCGGGACGAAGGGAAACGTGGTCACAACTCAAGGGTGATGTTGCAATGCCAGCAAGGAGGAGGGGGCTGGCTGGACCCTGGTGTGCTCAGACCCCATAAGGCCCCCCCAGGGTCTCGGTGCCAGCCGTAGGCACCCACCCTCAAACCAAGGAACCGCAGAAATCTGCCTCAAAGGCACCCTGCTCCCACAAAACAGACCCCCCTCCCACAACCCGAGCCCACACAGCCACCGGCTCCTTCCCCAAGGATGCCGAGGTGCCCTGGGCCACGTCTGGAGCCCACCCTGGGGATGGTGGTTGTGCAAGGGCAGCGTGTGATCAGGAGGTAAAGTGTGAGCCCTCAAAGTGACAGCAGAGCTGGGATGGGCACTGGCTCCCCTGCTCTCACGTGGGGCCGTGCTCACCTGCCAGAGCTTTTGGATGCTATTCCTTTAAGGCACAACAGGTGGAAATGCAGGGCTAGAGGTACAAGGAGTATTTAAAACAGCCTGGCACTGCCAGAGCCCGTGTCCAGCTGCGACAGGGAGGCAGGACACTCACAGAAGGTCCTGGGGCTGGTCACCGAGACACCACTGAAAGTAGGAGCAGTCAGTCTAAGGGAGAAAGCGAGAAGTACAAAACGGTCTGCAGAAGTAACTTGGAGTGTAAGTAATGCTTCTTCATTCTCTTTCTGAAATGTAAAGTCTTTTGTACTACCGCTTTGAGATGGGGAAGGAGAAGAAGACAAGTCTGGAGACACATTTAAGGAGTCTTCCTCACACGTGTGCGAAGGGAAGCAGCAGTGAATAGGTGTGCAGGTCTTGCTGGTGGGGAGGCTGATTCTTTTGAAAGAAATTCAGAAGCATGCTGTCAAGATTATGATATTCACGTTTCCTTCTCTGCAGTAGATTTTAAATCTTTCTGGGGGGAAAAAAAAAAAAAAAGTTATCATCATTATAATATTTGCATTAACGTGGGAAGTAACAAATGTTAGTAAATATTACCACAGCAATCTAAAGAGTTGCAAGTCTTTTGAATCACAACGTGGAGATAATCAGGATGCAGATTTTGAAATTTAAGAGAATCGGTGCAGTAACGTCCTAAACGAGCTCTAAAAAGTTATCAAGTTTGTACAGTTAAAAGAAAGACACAGATGCTGAAGCACAAGTGAACAAGATGTGCGTGATGTCCTAAAACTGAAATAAGAGAAAGCTGGCAGACTCCTTTCACATTTACACCAACGGGGAGGGGATGGGTTCCTGCACACCCGAATCCTCGCTCTGCAAAGGAAACTTTTTGTGTAGGACTTTTAATACGTTTCATTTGAAGTGCAGAAAATAACCATTTCCCGATAGCACTGGCACTACCCACCCATCCAGCTCTTGTCACTGCACAGGCTGGCTGGGCAGCAAGTCCTGTTGGGTCAGAGTAAGTTCCTAAAATATGAGTAGTATTAAACTAGAATAATGGTTTATTAGCACTGATGTTGGTTTCGCTTTCCAGACCGAGAGACAAGAACCAAAAAAGAAGAAACAAATGAACCATGACACTCTTGTCTGAAAAAGCAACAGGCTGGTGCAAGGGGTAGCAAAAAACCTTAAAGGGACATCAAATTAGCTCGCTGGTTAGTGTGTGGTGTAGCCGACAGCTTCAAGGAACATAAAGTCAGGCCAGCAGCACAACCTCAGCAGGAACTGCAGTCCCTGCCGTGAGGGCTGCCTGCTTATCCTTTTTCATTTGTTTTCCAGAATATATTGCTCATGTCGGACCGTTTTTAACCAGCACTTACACACATTCTCAGCTAAGGGGGTCACAAGTCCCGCAGAAATTCCTAAAACCTGCTGGTTTCTTGGTAAATCCTGACGATCTTCCATAAGATCTGCCTAGCTGTTTCTGCTCACTGCATCGCAAAATTAAGCACCTTCTATTTATTCTTTCCATATTGTAAAGGAGGCATTGGTTTGGAACGCGGCATTATAGCTTTTCTGTATTCGTTTAGGTCAGCTTGATCTTTTATCTTGAAGTTGATTGTTCGTTCAGTGAAAATGGGGTGGATTAGCGGCTTTCCCCCATCCCACTACAGCAAATAAAACGCACAGTAAGACTGTCTATGCAGTGACCTTGATGGGGAGCATGAAGGCGTAGATAGCCCCGGTCCTGGGCAGTCTGATGCTGTGCCCTTCTAGGCACAGAAATCTTCGGCACCCCCATAAATCCCCCCTGTGCCAGCGCTCCTCCTCGCCGTACAGCCCCTGGTGCTGCTCAGCTCTGCCTGTCTCTCCACCAGTTTGCATCTGTACAGCTTCCTCGTGGTGTGAGCGGGTGTTGCTTTAACAGGATTTGAGGGGGGGGAAAAAAAATACTACCCCGTTCTATATGTTATTATTTCTCAAAGTTTGGAATAACAGTAAACAGCCTACAAAACAGAAGGACTCCCAGGCTAGAATCGCAGCTGTGACAGCTCCATTTTCGTGTTGTGCTGATCCCACAGTACGGCCTTGACGTGGTCATTGTCAAGAGCAATAGTTAATAGCTGACGGACTGCACCGCGCTGATCTCTGGCAAGCTGCGCTTAGGACTGCAACGCCTTCTCCGGGCTCACCCCTGCAGCTGAGTCAGCAGAATTTGGGAACTGAACTCTGGTGTTTCATACCCAGCAAGAGCAGCTGCTTGCTCGGGTTTGCAAAACTCAGGGGTCAGGTCCTGATCTCTTTCGAATCATTATAAATCTGAAGATTTTGTTCCTCAGGACTGGTGGAGTCACAAAAGCACCGTAGAAACCCCGAGAAGGTCTGGTAAAGGGGGATATTTAGAAGAGCTAACCAGGTTAGAAAGCACGTTCTGCTGGACACCTGAAAGCAGTATTTTCTCATTCGCACACCCCCTCGGTGGGGTCTCAGCAGCCGTACCCAAGCTCACGCTCACACGTGGCGACGGGCAGCCAGGAGAAAGTTAACGCCATTTACCCAGCAATGACTGTATCTTCTGTTTTAATGCACATCCAAACTAAATGTTTTGATTTGTTAGTATTAATCTTGCTAATGATTAGCCTATCCTCTTCTGGCTTTGCACGATGTAATTCTTTGAAATCCCCGCTGCCAACAGCTAGAGCACAGGGAGCCTGGCAGCGTCCAGGGCAAGACAACACCATTGCCCTGATCCCGGTGACACTGGTGTCCACAGGCCTGGGTTAAGAGTTAAAAGCTCACGCACAAACATGCGAACTCCCGTCTGAGTTCAGCTGTAATAACGGGTTTGGGGCTCTAAAACCTTCAAAACGTTGGGACGGGGAAGAGAAGGAAGCTGGCAGTTTGGATGATGCAGAATGAAAGTAAATGCAGAAAACTAAGGTTTGAGTTGCAGCTAAAAAAAAAAAAAAAAAAAAAGCCGGTCACAATCCATAGAGGATCACTGCTGCGGCAGGGACTTTGCAAACCCCAGACACACGTTTGTGCAGCTGAAAGCTTTCCCCAGGCTGCTTCTCTGCAAGCCCTGCACTGCGAGAGGAGAGAGCTAGAACAAGGCATTGATCCCCGCTGCCCCCTTCACCTATCAAAATATTTTCACCAAACCACAGACAGCCCAGCAGCGGGCGAGCTGAAGCCCGAAATGCCCTCGGAGACGCCTTCCTAGTGGGAATAAGGGGGTTCCCTCCCCGTTTCCCTCCTGGCCAGCCCATTGCCCTGCCTTGCAGACAGTTCCTCACTGGGTTTTTAACGCTTCAGGTGTAAGACAGCAGCTTCTTCGCCTGCGTGGACGCGTGCGGCGCCGTGCGTGTGTCCAGGTTTCCCTCAGCCTCCACGATCCCTCCGGCCTGGCAGCTCCGGGGCAGCGGCTCCCAAGTGAGGTGCTGGTGACCCGTCCTGCTGCGGGGTGGTGGGACCGGGTTTCCCCCAAGGGAGAGGGTCCCAGTGTCCCTCAGTCCGAGGGGACTCCGTGGTCCCACACGCTCAGCTCTTGCTGCTCTGAGGGATCAGAAATCCAGCACAGGCACCCAGACACGCAGGTCAGCTCCTGCAAGAGGGGGAAGCAGGAGATGTGGACACAAGCAGAGGGGAACCCAACTGAGTCCAAACCATCCTCATCACGCAGCCCCTGGGCAAGCAGGGCGGGGGGATCCTCACCCACCTGCGAAGCCAGTGCAGCTGCTCCCGTGCGGGGTGACTAAACGCAGCTGCTGGCGGGAGGTTTTGGGAGCACTGCACAAGCCTCGTGCTTCGTGCCAACCACCAGGCCCCCAGCAGGACTCAGGGGAAGCCCTCAGGACCTGTCGTGGCATCGCTGCCTAGGGCAGGTGTCTGCCTTTCTCTGAAGCAGCTGGTGCTGCCAGATGCAGAGGGCACATGCTGATACGGTTGTGCCTCTGTATACGAAGCCCAAAATGAAGCCTTGCCTCCGCTGACAGCTCCAGGCAAGGTCTCACCAGCACGGTGACAGAGGAGCACTATTTATCCCCTGTCTCTGTTCCTGAAAAGCTAGGACAGCCCGGCGAGGAGCTGCGGCTGAGCCGCGCGAGGAGCCCAGGCTGGGCAGAGGCACTTCATGCTCCCCAGCACCGGTTCCTCAGCAGGCACTGTCGCTGGGCACGCAGCAGGATCAGAGCCCTGCAGACCTACCAGCAACTTGCCATAAGTTTGCTTCCCAGCTGCTCTGGAGACAGCATACGTGGCATTTCCCTCTGGTTTCAAGGCTCTTGACTCTTCTATACCCCCTGAAAACCTCGGCTGTCCCATCTCCTCTGTCCTTTCAACTCCCCCTCCGTCTGCAGAAGCGTGAATACAAATCACTTGGACAGCCACTTACCTGCACTCCCTTTTGTAGGAGCCTTTTCTCTTTCCTGGAGCTCTGAGGTTTAGACCTCACGCTCTGACTCGAGCCAGCAAATCCAGCAGTAAACGTTCTTTGAAAGCAAGAAGCAACTAGAACTCTTTTACCAACAGCTCTATGAAATTCTCCTCCAACATCTCAAACAGCGCTTGCTCGTTGCAGAGTGACCGGCAAAGCTCGTTCGCACCATTTCTGCGGGTTGGGAAGTGTCACTGTCAGCGCAACGGGGCAGCGGCGAGGGGGTTTCCAGCCACCCGGCTCAGTGGATCAGCATGGGAGCACAGCACAGATTTTTACGTAACTGGTGGCTTGCTCAGACTTGCTCCACATGGGAGTTTCTCCATTCATTCAGTGAGCGAGGGAAGGTTTTAACAGCATCTGAGAAAACAGGACTAGAGGCAACTCAGATGTTGGCCACACAAGCACTCAGGAACCGTTGTCTTGTGTAAGCACGATTGCACCGGTGTCCCCAGAGACAGAGAGACAAAAATTCTTTCCTGCTCTAACGTGCATAAGACCCTGATGCCACCACTCTTGCACACGTCTTTCTGGACATAGCTCTATCTTTGTTTCAAAGAAGAGGTCTTGGTAACCCTTCACTCCCTGACAAAATAATGTTGTCTAACTCTGACATAGCTGATGGATTTGGGAAAGAATCAGACTAACACATTGCTCAAGAAGGGGAAAGCTGAACTGGGATCCTGCTTGCACTGCAGAGCGAGGGGTGGAGGGCAGCGAGACGACCATTAGCCAGAGGAGCTGCCGTTAACAAGGGGCAAATATCAAGGCCCTTTTTGTGCCATATTGTTTGCTTTCTGCAGAATATGTTATGTTTGTCTTGCTGGCTACTTCTGGGACATGTATGAAAGAGCATTTTTCATGCTCAGTGAGTTAATTATTAGCCATAGACAAGTGGCCACAGAGCAGTTAGAAATCACGATACAAGGAAGAAAGCACAACAGAACACCTTTCATCTTAACACGGAAATAAAAGTCCTTTTCTTCTACCGGGAATTACCCTTAATAAAATTGTGTCACTTGACTCCCTGAAACCAAACTCCTCTGAATGTTTATAAAGACTTTCCTTGGCACCCACCATCTTCTCTAGAACATGGAATAGGCAGGTAGATCAACAGCCGTTCTCACCGCTGTGTCCAACAGCACACTCAGTTCAGGCTGAAGAAAACAGTTTAGTGAATTAAGACCTCCAGCTTCCTCTGAGCCATCACTCAGTCCAAAACAAGGGGAAGGTCAGAAATATCCATTCTGAAGAACATGGACACATTTCAAGAGACAGTTGGGTTTTGCATTCCTCAGTAGCCGTCACTGAGTACCCAACAGCCAAGGGTTCCTTTTGGTGCAGTGGGTCTGGGTGGATATACAGGCGGGACAGTGCTTTATCTGGTTAAGTCTGATCCTTGGAGGGGTGGAGGTGAAGAGTAAATCCCTGCATCTCATGAACTTTGCCAGCAGCTGAGGAAAGAAAAAAACGTAGAGGTGAAAAATATTACCCATTTTCTCTTTGAGTGCCCTTGAAGAGACCAAGAAAACAAAGAGCAGTAATTAAATACAGGCTTCAGAAAGGAACTCTGCTCTATGGCGTAAGGAAGAAATTTGGATATAAGGAGGATGGTGAGACACTGCAACAGGTTGTCCAGGAAAATTGGAGATGCTCCATCAGTGGAAGAGTTCAAGGTTAGGTTGGACAAGGCTTTGGGAACCTCATGTAGTGAAAGATGTTGGACTAGAGGATCTTCAAATGTCCTTTCCAAACGAAGCCATTCAGCAATTCTGTGAGAGTGGATTTTCCTAAGGAGTGGTTTTGGCACCCAGGCTCACAAGTGAACAAGCCTTCCCTTCACGGCATGAACAACCTGGAAAGAAAATATGACCCCAGCTATTAAACTATATTGCATTATCTCCTGGCAAGGGTCAAGCGAGCATTTGAGCTCCGGGTTGCCACCTGAGTCTCATGCCCGTCAGGGTTTTTGGACCAGTTTTGGACTTCAGCCTTGTTCTGACTTACAAGTGTAAAACCAGACAGCATTTCGGAGTTTGAATCGAGCCTTCTCTGGTTTGCCCAAAGTCACTTTTATGCTGTGCACAGCACTGCTCTTGCCTGCCCAAGGGACACTGTCCCTGGGGCACTCTGCTCTGACGGACACTTTGGTGGCTTGCTGGCATTGCATTAACTGAGTTTGTCATAAAACCAACTCCCCTCATCCTACAGAAGGGAATGTTGGGGTGTTGGGATGAGCCCCACGGGCAATCATGACGCCATGCAGCAACACAGGCAAGAGCAGAGTTATCAGCATCCCCTTTCCCATTCAATTGCTTGGCAGAAGGGATTAAATATCGTATTTCTCTCTAGTTTAAGTAGATATAACCCTCATATCCTCCAAGCACGAAGATTATTAGATGACTTGATCATTTAAGCATTTTGCAAGTGTGATTGTTCACCAACTTCTGTGCCTTTTCCAGGGAATGAAAGAAAAATGACCTTACTAGCCTTCGTCTTCCTGTTGGCCTTCCTCCCAGCTGAAGCTGCGATCAGCAGACACCCCCCCAAGTCATCGAGTAAGTGTAACCTGGCTGGGGCACAGGTTTTGAGGGTGACCCAAGACCAGAGGTGTCGTTACGAAGGGGGGAGAGGGGTTCTATGCCCATCTCGGGCCCATCACGGCCATGGGAGCTTACGATGCTGCACAGCCCTGGCTCTGCGCTCGCCCCGCTACACCCGACCCGCTCCGTGGTGCAACCAGGTTGCGTAGCGCAGCTATTTGCAGCCAACGTGTTTTCTTCTTGCAGTCTCAAGCCCCGTGTTTGGCCCACGGCAGGTGTACGGCCTGCTCAACGGGTCGGTCACCGTGAAATGCTTCTACCCTCCCACCAGCGTGAACAGGCACGACAGGAAGTATTGGTGCAGGGAATCGGCCATGGGCTGCATGACCATTGTCTCCACCAGCGGCTACACTGCTCCAGGCTACAAGGGCAGAGTCTCCATCACCGACTACCCACAGGCAGAAAACTTCCAGATTAACATCTCTGAGCTCACGATGGCAGACGCGGGCACCTACCAGTGCGGTGTCGGTGTCAATAGCAAAGGGCTCTGCCACAAAGTCAGCCTGGATGTTTCTAAAGGTAATTACAGTCTCAGAGCTCCTTAAAGTTTTATTTTCTTCTACTTTTCCCCCTCCCCCCCCCCTTTTTAATCAGGCTCCACAGGTAGTTTTGCAGGGTCTAAGATGCTCCGTGCTTTCAGGAAACCAGCAGTTTTCATTTCCCGCTGTGCTCTTACAGGCAAATTTTTTGACCAAAAAGCCGGCATAAAAATCAGATTAAACAAACCTCATCTTAGGGTCGCAAGCATTGCTTAGAAACTGCTGCCATCTCTCAGCCACTAAACTTTAGGGAGATGCAGTCCAAGGGCAGAACTGCCCGTCACTTTGATGTACCCCCACCAGCCCACAGCTGAGGTGGGGTGAGCCAAGCCTGGGCACAAGTCCATGAGAGCACGGTGGGCAGGATGGCACCACACTGCTGGGCAAGACCCGGGGCACAGAGCACGGGGCAAACTCCTGGCAGGGCCCCTGGCAAGAAGGATCTGGGAGAAAACCTGCTCCAGAGCGGGCAGTGATAGAGCAGAGACCTCAGTATTGAAATGTGTGGCAGGCATGGGATACAGCTGAGCAGATCATGCTCTGGTCAGGAGTGGCACGTGATCATATAATATAGCGAGGTAGGGAGAAACCCTATGCTAAAAAAAAAATAAATAAAAGCCTTCAAAGGTCGAGGGGAGTCGCACACAGCTACCAGCACTGACTGGTGTCTCTGCACACACAGGCCCACACGTGCCCGAGGGAGCTGAGCTCTTCTACGTGAAGCTCCACAGCACTTTGACCATGTCCTGCAGCTTTGGGCCCGACTACGCCAGCGTAAGGAAATTCTTGTGCAAGATGGAGAAGGACGGCTGCCGGAACGTCATCGATAGTTATGGGAATATTGCTACGGATTACACCGGGCGAGTTCTGATGAGCAGTGAGGGCACTCCAGGCTCATTCAGCGTCGTGATCACTCAGATGGGCTGGAAAGACTCTGGCTTGTACCTGTGTGGGGTCGGCTTCTATGGGGAGGATGGAGAAACGAAGGAACTGGACGTGCATGTCTATGAGGGTGAGTAAGATATCCCAGTGGTTTTTCCCTTCATCTCTGCTTCTCTCAGAAGCATCACAAACAGTCTCACTTTGTTTAACAAGAGCTTTAATTTCCCTTTGCAGAGTGCCATTATCCTAGCCTCTCACCTAGATACTTCTTTCTATTCCTTTTGCTGTCTGTGATGTACTAAACCATCACTAACACAGCTGATATCAAGACTTAACTTTCCCAGCAGTGACTATCTATCTTCCCCAGTCTGGCTAGGCCAAAACTCCAGAAGGCAAATTCTGCCTACAAGTTTGAGACAAGCAAACTGTCTCTTCAAGCCTTAATTCCCTCCGTCTCAAAATGACAGAGGTAGGAAGGAGAAGACCTGCCCTTCCCCTAGCAGAGGGAGCAAAACTGCGACATGTCAGTACACAAAGACAGCAACCACTCGGTGAATTTGGGGGAAAGAAAGGCCTGACAGACTCTTTAGGGTCAATTCCTAGCAGTGCCAGGAGAGGCTCCTACCATCGGCACCCCTGAGCTTCACCTAGTCTTGCTTTGGCCAAAACAGCTTTTTTTTTTTTTTTTTTGATTTGGTATTTATTCTCCGGGGAGAGCGGCACATGGGCAAAAGTTTGACATTTACAGCTGCTCATTTCACTTCTATCTCCAGAGTCAAAAGTTCCTCAAGCGAAGCCCATAATAACGGGAGTAAAAGGAACTTCAGCAACTTTTGAATGCCGCTATAACCCCCTACAAAGGTCCTCAGGGAGGTACTGGTGCAAGTGGAGGCAGAACGGGTGTTCTCGGATCATAGACACCTCCGGGTACGTGTCGTACGCGTACGAAGGAAGAGTGGCCATATTTGACAGCCCAGAAAACACGACGATGACCATCATCCTGAACCAGCTGAGCGACAAAGACAACGGCTATTACTGGTGCATGACAGACGAGCAGAAGGAGCAGCAATCATCGACTGAGCTGAAGATCATAGACGGTACGAGTTTGCAAGTTGGCAGTTCTCTGCCTGCTCAGTAGGTACAAAACCACCCAAGCACCACAAAGGAACAGATGTGGCTTTTTGGGAAGAGATGTGAGGTTCAATTCTGAAGCTTTATCTCATAAGGTGAAACATTGTGCCCACTGCCCAACACCCCAGTAGCTTTAAAATGGAAACACAAGGTTTCAGTTTTATAGGAAAGTGTTCACAGAAGTTTCTGATGCAAGTATTTCTTAAGCCCGGGGGGGGGAATCATCCATAGATGCAAATACAGCATCCTTAACATTAATTTAGCAACGTAAGGAGGACTTTCCCTCAAAGATGCATCTGCTTCGCCATCTCTAGCAGCACCACTACCTCTTGACTACTGCTCCTACCGCTGAAAGCACTAACACCAGCCCTGATGTTCTGTTTGCCCTTGCAGGACAACCCGGGCTGACGGGGAAGAAGGAAGTGGAGGCCCAAGCGGGTTCACGGGTCGATTTAGCTTGCTACTATCCATGCAAGTACTACTCCTACCAGAAGTACTGGTGCAAGTGGAACAACACCGGCTGCAGCGTCCTGCCTGCTTCTGACCAAAGGCAGCCAGGGCCAGGTGTCACCTGTGACAGGGACAACAAGACGGTCATCCTAAGCTTTGACCCGGTGGAAAAGACGAACGAAGGGTGGTACTGGTGTGGAGTGAAGCGCAACGGCGTCTACGGGGAAACCATGGCAGTGCACCTGAGCGTGACTGGAGGTGAGCCCCAAGGCAGCGGCGGGCAGGGGTTCTCCTGCTCCCCAGGGCTGCAAACCATCCCGCCTTCTGCTGAGAGTCCTCTCTCCCCATAGCCACTAGGCTGCAGCACCTCAAAACAGAAGTGCTCTCATCCAGGCACCCTCCCAGAGTAGGTGCCAAGATCACCCTGATTTTGCTCGTCGTAGATGTTTTCATCCACTCATTGTTTTTTTGCCTCCTGGTCATAAAAAAAAAAAAAAAAAAAATCCCACCAATCTAAAAAAAAAATCTAAAAATCACTTCCTTCCACACCATTTTTTCCTTTAACCCCCGTCCTTGCTAATTATCGCTATTGTAATTTGTAACACCATTTAGTTTAAGCAACATCTGACACCTCTCGGGTGAAGGACTGCATCGAGTTCAGAGACACATCTTGCTCCAGGGAGCTTTTTATTTTAATAAACAGGAAAACAGCAGGGAGTGGGAAAGGAAGGGCTATCGCCAACGGCAAGGGGCTTCGCCTCGGCTTTGGCGCAGTGTGATGGAATTAGGATATTTTTTTCCTCGGGAGAAATACTGCTAGAAGTAGAGTAAAGGTATAGTACTAGATATCCCAGATGCACCCATCCTAAGTGGATGATGATTAAAGTGAAAACAGAGAGAAACAGCCCCTTTTCATCGCCTTCGGCGGGCGAAAAGCTAGAAAGAGAAGCAAACCGAGTACTCAACGTTTGTTCTGGGAATACTAGAGGCAGTGCTCAGAAATGCAAGACTGTCTCAAAAGTATATAGGCGGAGCATGCCTACTTGAGATTTTTGCCACACGTTATTCGGAATGAGATTATTTCAGAACTCCAAACCCCGTTCGAAAGAGCCTCTCACGTACAGCCAAAACCCACTGCAGGTCCGCAGCCACCAACTAGTGCCACCGTCCCCGTGCTGCTGCTGAGGTGATTAACCACCCTTCTCCCCCGGGAGCTGTAGGGAGCCAGGCCAACCACGGCCTGAAGATCCTGGATGTTGAGCCCCCCAGCCACGCCGAGGAGCCCCCCAGCCGCGCCGAGGAGCCCCCAAGCCACGCCGAGGAGCCCCCAAGCCACGCCAAGGAGCCCCCAAGCCACGCCGGGGGAGGTTTTATTGCCCAAGGAAGAGCCTTCAGCGATGCTGGAGTGGGAAGCGCAGCTGCCTCGGGAAGGTTCGTTCCCTCTAAGCTCTGTCATCGATTATTTTCATGAAGTTTGTGTTAACCCGTTATTGGTACTGTGTTTGCGCACTCTGTGTGTGTGTGGTTTAGCAACGACAAAAAAATTTCTTGTTCCTGAAGAGCTTAGCTTAAAACATCAGAGGCAAAGAAGCAGAAAAGTCACAGCAAAAGGCAAGATATCTTGAAATTAATCTCTAGCTCAAGAAAATACAGTTCCAGAAGGGAACAACTATAGATCCCAGGTATATATAAAAAAAAAAAAACCCTAATTGAAAATACTTCTGTCAAGATTAGAGAGCTTTCCTTCACACATTTATAACCAAGCTGCTGAGGTAGCTGCTTTGGGATGACCTCTGTCCTACTTTTTTCTTTGTTTATTTTGTTATATGTGCTCGAATACAGTTTGTTAATTGAATTGCATCACGCCCACTCAGATTTACCATCCTATACAGATTTTAGATTGCTGGACATTCACATACATTATTCAGTCTTGAATAATTAAAAAAAAAAATTGTTTCACAGATAAGTGATGCATCTTTCCCCCTATTCCAGCTCTGATCAAAGCCGTGGCTCCAGTACGCTTACTTTAGCCTTGAGCCTTACTGGTGCAGCGCTCCTGGTCCTCGTGACAGCTTTTGCTGTTTATAAATACAGGCAGCTGACGAGATCTGGTGAGTCCCTGCCTTTTCTAGTCTCTCAAGAAACGTCAGCAATATTAAGACAAAGGCGACACCCCGCGTTGTCTCCGCTGGGCTGGGCTGCTCCCCTGTACCCCACCATGCAACGGGCAGACGAGGGGCCCTGCTTCTCCCCCTCAGCCCCATCCATAGAGCTCCGACACCCAGCGTACGGGGCGCCTGGGCTGAGACAGAGACCAACCGCTGCGAAGAGTTTCGCACAGCGGAGGTGGTTCGGGCGCTGACGCGTTTGCACCGACCCCGAGCAAGCGTGTGGGTATTTATCTCCTTCCTCTTCCCAGATGTGGTGTCCATCGGGAGCTACAGGACAAACATCAGCATGTCGGACTTCGAGAGCGTGAAGGGGTACAGTGCAAGCAACAACGCCTGTGTGAAGGAGAGCCAGGAGACCGAGATAGGAGGGGAGGGTAGGTTGCTGACCCCATCCCCAGCCCTGGGGCGAGGGGTGCCATGGGGGGGGTTCAGAAGAACCCCACAAAAGACGCAGCCTGCCCACCAAGGGCCCCCACGCCCTAACGCCTCTCTTTCTCTCCCTGCAGAGTTCACCACCGCTACTACAGCCACCCAGGAAAGTGCTGCCGAGACAAAGAAGGCAAAAAGGGTAAGAGAAGGCAGGAGAGAGCCCACTGACCTGGGCGACACCACCACAGCCTTCTGCCAGAGGGGCTGCTGTCTCCCAGGGGCCTTATTTACATCCATATGCTCTCCACCTTACCTGCGTTTCGTCACCTGCTGCACATCAGCCTCTGTTGGGGGAACCTTAACCCTTTCCTGACCCCCTGTTTCAGCAGAGACAATAGTAGCAGTCACCTCACTTCAAACAGTGCCCAGAGTCAGCCCCAGGTAGCATCAGGGAGGTTGGGGTGGGGTTGTTACCGTAAGTACGAAACACTGGGATAAGCAGATGACCAGAAGCCAGAGCACATCCCACCTCCCAGCCTTCCCCCCACCATGGGCAGTGGTTTGGGGGACAGGGGTAGACATTGCAAGGGCTGTGTCTTGCTCCTGTGGCCTCAGCAAGCCCCTGCTTTCCCCTGCGTCCCCTCCCCTTGGCCAAGGGCATGGTGGGGTGGCAGCACTCCGCAGGAACTGAAGGTGCCAGATGCCAGCCCTTCTTTGCACAAGTAGGTGGTGTAAGCATCAAGAGCTGAACTGGAGCAATAAAGGAAACGATCAGGAAAGCAGCAAAACCTAGCAGCTCTAGGACAGGTGAACTGGGTGCCAACACGCAGGGACAGGCATGTCACAAAGTCCCAAACCCGTAAACATTCGGGGGCCGAGCAAAGGCGTGATGCTTTCTCATCAGCACCTCTGGGTTGTCCCTCTTGCCCGGTCTGCCCGTATCATCCCGAGAAGCTCGCAGCCCACGTACCCCTGCCCCTTCCCCTTCCCCTCGTGCTGCTGCCCGTCCCCGGGTACCTGACGGTGTCCTCCTGTCCTCCCCCAGAGCTCCAAGGAGGATGCTGACCTCGCCTACTCCACCTTCCTCCTCACCTCCAGCAGCATCGCACAGGCCGGCACCGAGGGGGTCAGCGCGGCCCCGGACGCCTCCTCCCCGAGCTGGGGGGGCCAGATCTGACGGCGAGGAACCGAGAGGCAGCAGCAGCAGCGACGGGGACCGGCTGTACCCTGAGGATCAGAGCAAGCAGCACTGTATATTGCTACCACAATTTGCTATAGCTTGACCTTTTTTTTTTTTTTTGCTTAAATTCAGCTTCGAGTGGTGATTTAGGAGGAATCGTTTGATGCCAAACGAGGTGGCTGGGCTGGAGGCACAGGTTTGAGCGAGCAGGTTGGACTGGGAAACCACAGGAGCTCGAGTGGCTGAGCCCACGGACAGACCCAGTCCCACCAGTGCCTTTCCAACACAGAGGGCTCTCAAAGGCCAGAAGACACATTTAAAAAAAAAAAAAAACAAAAAACCACACTAATTTTCTTTTAAAGGCAGCTGGAAAACCCTCTAGAACAACATCTCGTGCTTTTGATTCCAATCTTTCTCATCCAGAGGGCAGTACCTGCAGACCAGAGATGGTCTGAAGTGTTTTTATGCACAAGCAATAAAGAAAACCACTGGCTTTCAGCAGACCAGGGGGACTCACCGTCCGTGGGAGGGCACGGGGAGAGCGCACCCAGCGAGGCACAGGAGGGTGCGTTTAGGGGAGGGGGTTCTCCTCCTTTTACTGCAGCATCACATCTGGTGTTGCAAACGGCACAGGACAGTAGGAGGAACCCACAATTAATGGAGATAAACAGGAAATGTTTTGAGTAATGTTTTACATACGAATTTTCATCAACAGCAGGAATCGATCGCAGCCTGACAGTTAAGTATGACAACCTCTTAGCAGCTACAGCTGATCAGGCAACAGGCACGTGGTTACTGGCACTGTCTCCATTTACATAGTACAGACCAAATTCCCCAGAACAGCTGAACCAACAATCTCCCCTTTCTGACTTGGAGTCGGAGCAACTAAACCCAATCTGTGCTCCTCTGCCACGGAGCCACCCGCTGAGGGTGGCCTCGAAAACCCAGCCTTTGCTTAATAAACCTGAGCCACACATCACTGACACATTTTCCCTGGCTGACTTCATGTTTACCCAGGCAGAAAGGAGGATGACTGTAATTAAATGGTGTCTCTTGGTCTTATTTTCAAGAGTGGATGACTAAACAGAGAAAAGCAATTTATCGATGCCTGGATTTCCGAGCAGCAGCATGACGCTGCTGCCAGTGCGATGCAGGTGCAGAAAGGTGAATACCCCACGGATAAAGCAATGTAGGCAGCAGCAATGATGAAGAAATTGTGACAAAGCGGAGAAGCAATTTTCCCTGAATACCAGGAATGGGATGGGCTGGTGCCTGCCTGGCAAAGAGAAGGGCTGCAGAGGTGTCTGACAGGGCCAGGGCTCTTCGGGAGAGAAAGGGCAGAAACTGCACAGACAAATTCAAATTCCCGGGCCTGTGCTGGTGACGGACAGCTCTGATAGCGAGCCATAAAATATAAAGGATGAGGAGCATCACCCTGGCTGGGGTCTGACCTGGCGGTGTTGCTGTAATAAAATACTAGTGACGCTTTAAAATGAAAACGGTCTGGCAGCTCGGCAAGGTGCGGGGCAAAGGCTTGTTTGCGTTGCTGAGTCTTCATCAGGACAAAACCCAAATTCCTGCCGAATCGCGGGCCTCCCCACAGTAAGCGCTGCCATGAGCTTGGCTCGCTGTGGGTGAGAGGGCAGCACTGCCAACGGTATTTGTGTTCCCCCTCCCAGCCCTGCGGTTCTGTTTGCGGGGCTGCTCTCATGTTCACGCTCCAACAGTCCTCACCGATAGCATCTGCCTCATCTCCCGGCTGCATCCCCGCAGCAGCGCGGCGGGAAGGGGCTTGGATATTGGAAAAGGTGTGGAGGGGCCAGGACAGGTCTGTGCTCGCCCAGGGTTGCTGGAAGTGAATGAATTACTCTGGTGCAATAGGAGAGGCGTGCGCTTCACACCGTCCCTGGGGCTGAGCAGTCATAAAGCTGCAGGAAAACGCTAAGGCTTGGAAATTTCTGAGAGGAGAAAACCCCTTTCACTCTCCCTTGGTAAATCCTCTTCCTCTTCAGCCCACCCAGCTGCATCCCCGTCAGCTCCGCTCCTCCTGCCCCACGCCGGGAGCATGGGGATGAGCTAAACTCCTGGGACCAAGAACGGTGGGTGGGCTGAGCACCCTGCCAGCCAGCTCTGCCTGCACCCCTCAGCCCCAGCAGCTGCTCTGCTCCTTCCCACCGCTGACCCTTCCATCCAGCTCCTCACTCCCAAAGGGGCCTGGCCCTGGGCTGCTGCAGTGCTTGGCAGGGGATGGGAAAGTGTAAACTGAAGTTTGGTGTGAAAGCAGTAGAACATGCATGGGCTGAGGCATGCAACCCTCCGCACAGGCTACAAAAATCAATGAAATCTGATAAATAATACTAATTGTGACAGCGTAAGCTGAGGATGTGGAATACAACCCCACACTTCTCCCACGAGCTGTGGAGCAGAGCCCACCACCATCAATGGAAAGCTCCGCAGGGACCCTGCCAAGCAGCCCCACCTCCTTCTTGGTCCAATCTCACCAAACGTGCTGACTGATTTCCTTCAGTCGGTGACGTGCTGCATCACCGCTTCATTCCTAATGATTTTTCTTTAGCAGAAAGCCGTGGGATGTGCAAGATCCCTGGCATCATGCACGGTTGATTTCAAGGGTGACGGTGTTGCGAGATCAGCTTTCGAGAACACTGACAGCACGGAGGGGCATATTCACCCGTTCGTGCCCTGGCACCAGGACAAATGAAAGTCACCCCACGAAAACCCATGAGAAAGCAAATTAAGAGCATCAAAACCCTGAGAGGCTTTCCTTTGGCATAAGCAAGTATTTGAGGAAGGATAGTGAGCAATCCGGGATTTCTTCCTTTTGAAAGTGAATCACCAAATCCCACCCAGCTGATACGCTATAGGCAAATGCAGGTGAGCTCACCCAGCCAGGGCACCAGCCGGGCCCCTTTGGGAAGGGACAGGGAGTCTCCTCCTCCTCCTCCTCTGAGCTTTTCATTCCTCTGTCACCTGAGGAAAGGCGCAACACCCACCGGACTGACATGAGACTCCAGTGATGCTGGAGCTCTTGACCGGGATCCTCCAGGGATGGGGATGGAAGCAGAGCAGTAACTAGGTTCTCCTTGAGGACACGAGGACCTTATTCTGTAATAGCAAAATCCTGTTAAAGAGCCTCTTCTGCAGCTCAAACCTTCCCTGTGTCACCTCTCCAGCACCGTTAAAAATCGCCCAAGCTGAGAAGAACCAGCCCTCCGTCCATCCCAGCTGCAGAACCTTGGCCCTGCCTGCGAGCAGGAAAGGGAGAGCTGGCGAGTGTTGGGCCACCCCACGGGAACAGAGGTGCTGAGAAGATGTTTGTGCAGGCCTGAAGGATTCTGATGTGGAAGCAACGAGTCGGCCCTGAGAGCAGCAAGAGCTGCTCGGAGCCAGGGCAGAGCATGCAGCGCCCTGGCTGTGCTCGTGCCGCCGCAGCCGGCGGTGTGGGTACACCTTGCTCAGCTTCGCGGATTCCTAGAGCAAAATGCCCCAAGTCAGAGATCTACCCTCTAGTCTGACTCGAGCCTTGTGCCTCATGAATGCAGCAGTCAGACTTTATCACTTGAAATATTAGGACTGGAGTGCTGCCAGGGACATAAACGTCTGGCTGCTCTGGCTTGGGCTAATAAGCAGCATTTATCTGGGCCCTGACACCAGGAGGGTGTAACACCTCCTGGCTGCGTGGAGAGATGATTTGGGTGGTCTTGGTTCATTTACTAACACATTAGGCCTCTGCCATTGTCAGATACTACAGCGATGTATCTATTAACACCTTGTGGGAAAACACAGTGGAAAAGGGATTTAAAGCGTGCGGAACCAGCGGGTACCAGCAATGCGTGTGCGGTCACTGGAGGCTAAAAGAGCCCAAAATGAGTCAAAACAGACCAGAGCTATAGTTAATGCATAACAAAAACGGTCTCAGGGACAAGCTGGGGTGATTTTATATCACCCAGGTTTAAACTTTAGTCTCTCTGGCATGTCAGGAGCGATGCAACCCCTCGGGGAAGCCAGCCTTAGAAGGAGTGACAGTATCTGCTACGAAAGGGCATCACCGTGAATTCAGAAAATTTTGCCATCAAAAAACACTCTGTTCCTCAGAATTCTGACCGACGGACTCAGCACAGTTTCAAGTGGGGTTTATTTACAGTATTTGCAACGGATTTCCACAAAACTTACTACTCAGCGTCAGTAAATTACACGATACATGCAAGAACCTTTTTCTATTCAGCAACCACGTATCTTGCACACAAAGTTTTCTTTGACTGATAAGACAGAAAATACTATCCCAAAAGGAAACACAAATCTCTAAGGCCTGAACATACCTGCTAGGACCTATTCTTGGCAGCATTTCTCACGCTGTGCACCTTGTTTCAGCCAGCGGCAGCAGCCACGGGGCTGAACCCACGTTTACTAACAGTGCGGAGTTAACTACGCCTGAATAGTTCCAGCGGGCACTCAGCTCTCATGAATATAGATTCCCTATACAAAAATGATATAATTTAAACAATACTTCTATTAAATGATCACAGCTTACGTCTGCTAGCAAGAGAAATCCGTTCAGATTTCCCCTCGGAGAGCATCCTTTGACAGAAGTCAGGTGAGAAGTGCTCTGCTCATTTGATCAAACTTAGTTTTTGCATCTTCTGTTGATGCAGGCTAGCAAATCCCTCTGTGTTTGACCGAACGCACCTGCCGTCAGTGAGAACCTGCACTGATGCAGTACAACATTTTCCCGTTCGCTGCGAGTCTGTGCAACGTCCCGGCAGCTTGGTGGGTCGTCAACGCCTTCTGCTCTCTAACCAGATTTCTCCATCCAGTCCAGTAGGATGTCCAGCTCGCCCAAGGATTTAATTGCTGCAGATGTGACATTCAGCTGAAATGATATAAAGGAATGAGTTGCAACCTGGTGTAAAGAGAATCTGAATATCTGCATTAATTACTAGACTTAGGCATCACCTTACCCCCTCGTAGTTCACAAGTATTTGCTTAAATTTCTCCGTGGATTCCTGTCCACACACGCACTTATTTTGCTCATGCTAGAAAAATAAGATAGAATTCGTTAGTCGGGGGCGGGG